TCCTCCTCCTCCCTTACCCCATCTTCATCCGCATCCCCCTATTGTATCTACCACGGCAGGTCTCTGAATTAGTACTAGGATCTCCAAGATACAGATGGAAATGTGCTCGAGTTTTTTAAAAGGCTTGCATAATGATTGTACCTTATTTTTAATATGTGTATGCATATTATTGATGAATATTTAGATTTCCTCAGGTGATTCATGAATTGCTGTTTCTAAATATACAAATTAGTCATCAAATTGGGGTAAAAGATAGACTCTTTTGTGGCCTCCGGTTGGAATTTGCGAACATTGGACAGACTAGAGCAACTGTGTGACTCCAGTGTGCCTTTGCTGATGGCTAGAGCCTCTAAAATTCATGTTCAAGTCCCAAGGTCAGAGCTTTAGATTAAGGCTTCACAAGGTGTTAGAGTCATGGAGGTGGAACTCTCTTGAGATCAATGCCCCTAACCAAGAGATCCCAGAGAGACACCCCTTGGGCCTTCCTTCAGGTCAGGATATGGTGAGAAGGTGCTTTCTCCAAACCAGGAAGAGGTTCCCTGTCACATAGACCTTTCTCTCTGGATCTCCCAGCCTCTGGAGCTGGGAGTAAATGAGATCATGTGCATTAAGAATGTAAAGCACAGGCTGGGGTGTAGCTCAATGGCAGAGCACTTGCTTAGTAGAAGCAAGGACCTGGGTTTGATACACAGCACTGCAAAAAAGGGGAAAAAAGCCTATGTAATACGTGGAGGGAAAGAGGGACGCAGGAAGGGAGGGAAGGAAACACCTAGAACACAGTCAGCAACCAGGAAATATTTCCTTCCTTCCTTCCTACTTTCCCTGTTGATCCAGACACGAGGATGGAGGAGTGTGTTACAAATGGTCCAAGTGGTGTAAGGATCTTAGCCCATTCAACCTGCTAGGGCACACACTGTAGACTAGATGGCTTATAAAAAACGGGTATTTTTACCTAGAGAAGCCTAAATACACAGTAGCATTCTTATTTGATATAGAAATGATGCTTCAAAGAGATTAATTCATTTTCCTGGGGGTCTCAGCCTAGTTGTTATATGTTCAGAATTTGAACCAAGACCTAACTCTCTGGTTAAGGATTGTTTTCTTACACTGTGGTAGGAGAATAGGGTCTGGGAACATGAACAGGAGCAGGCTGTTCTTCATCATCCTCTAGCTTGCGCTTCCCAGTATTCCTATCCAGCTGACATAGGCCCAGTGTGAACCTCAAAAGTTGTCTTGACAGGAAAAGCAAGGGAGTGTTGATTTTAGGTTGTTATTGGGCAAGGAGGAAAAAGGCCTTCTCCATTGTTTTGGGTTGAGGTGGGAGTGGAGGAAACTGACTGTGGCGGGCATGCATACATACATACATACATATATACATACATATGTGTGGCGGGCATACGTACGTGTGACCCTCAAGGAGTTTTTAGCTCTGGGAATGAAGTGTTGATCCCAGCCCAGCTCCCAGGGCAATCATCTGCCAGATACATTAGGAAACAAACTGTTTGCAGAAGTCAGACCAAATGCCAGGCTAGAGAAGGCCACCAGGTGAGGAAAAGGCACTTGGTGAGCACGGCACCTCAGGACAAGTTCACAAGGCCTTGTCTGTGAATGGAGAGATAAGGGACACTATAACATGCGGAGTTACTAACTGTGACTATGGAGTGCCAGGTCCTGTGCAGGAGACTCTGTGGAGCTGAAAGAATAAGGCCTTAGGTGGTTCGCAAGTTGATGAGGACAGTTTAAGGTCAGGGAACTGCAGCAGCAAGTAGAGTGGGGTCTCAGGGGAGGCGGCCATGGCAGGGGAGGTGTCAGACTGGCTTGTTCAGGCTCGTCATTAGGATGCATCCTGATCCTGAGCAAGTTTCTTTTTTTAATGTTTTATTTATTATTTTTATGTGTTGTGCCTGTATGTGTTGTCATGCAATGCCTGCGGAGGTCAGAAGAAAGTGTTGGATTCCCCTGGAACTGGAGTTATGGGCGGTTGTTAGCTGCCATGTGGGTGCTGGGAATTGAGCCCAGGTCCTCTGCAAGAACAACCAGTGCTGTTAACCACTAGGCCATTGTGCTGGATAGTTTTAGTGTCAACTTGACACACCTGGGTTGATGGAGCCTCAATTAGGGAATTGTCTTCATTGGACTGGCCTGTGGCCATGTCCATGGGGCATCTTGATTGTTGAGTGATGTGGGAGGGCCCAGCCCACTGTGGGTGGTGCCACCCCTGGGCAGGTGGGCCTGTGTTGCATAAGATAATAGGCTGAGCAAGGGCCAGGGGAGCAAGCCAGTAAGCAGCGTTCCTCCATGGCCTGTGCTCCAGCTCCTGCCAACCAGGCTCCTGCCCTGAGTTCCTACCTTGGGCTCCCTGATAAAGTGTGACCCAGAAGACGTAAGATAAAATAAACCCTTTCCTCCCCAAGTTGGTAGTGGTCAGAGTGTTTTGTCACAGCAATGGAGAGACAAACTAGGACAGCCATCTCTCCAGCCCCTGAGCAAGTGTCTTAAGACTCAAGGGCTCCATTTGCTCATTTGTAAAATGGACACCTTTCAGGGATGTTGTATCTTGGAGGAATTTGACAGTGACAGGAAGTATGTGCAGACACACAGTGCACTTTCACAACTGCTTATGATTGGGCTGTTGTTAAGCACCACTGAATTTAGGACAGCAAGAATTTGGTTGGGAAATCAGACTAGAGAAGGGGTTGAGGGATTGAGGTTTCAGAGAATAGACAGTATGACAGAAGCTGTGAACAGCTAATGCCAGCACCTGGTCTCTTCCTTCCTGGTGGGAGCATGGGTCAGTGTCTCTTACCTTTGTAAGCTGGCCTGGGGCTGGGGTATCAAAGTCCAGAGGAAAATAGAATGAATTTTAAGTAAGCAACGTGTTTATGAGCCTTGTGGTCAGACCGAAGATGGGGGCCAAATCTAGGGCAGCAAACTCTTAAAGCAGAGTCCAGCCCAGGCTTCCCACTGTCTGGAGACGCACAACTGGCAGTGTGGGTGAAGAGTAGGGCAGGGCAGGGCAAATGAGGGATGCTGTGAACCCCTCCAGTCTACAGCTTAGATTTATGGGCAGGTAGGCTCGAGGTCCACAGGGAGAATGGACGGGGTCCTGTTCCCCAGTGAAGGTAGCCTAGTGGCAGCCAGGATGACAAGTGAGGCTTCAGGCAATCAGCTACCGTAGGCCAAGGACTCATGAAAAGTTCCCACTGTGAACTTCCGACTACAAAGACACAACCTGCCAGATGTCATTGCCTATTTTCCTTTAAAAGCATTCTTATTCCATTGTATGAGTAATAATTTCACACTGTGGGACACTTAACATTTATCTGACCTTTTGCCATTGTAAGCATTAATGAGTCCTTCACTCCTCCTTTCCATGCCTCATGATGGCCTTCTGTTTTGCAGCATTGCTGGAAGCCTGGTATATTCTTACATCACTTTCACTGAAGAGCACCTGAGCAAACAGTCAGAGGCCAGTAACAAGCTAGACACTAAGGGGAAAGGCGCAGTGTGACCTGAGGAGGACTCCAGCCCCGAGTGACCCACAGACACCGAGGTCAAGACGTCTGATCGTGGGGAATGCAGCCTCTTTGCACTTCTACGACGCTACGATTGATTGCTGCCTTTGAAATTTCTATCAGAGAAGCTTATAATTAAGTCTATGTTAAATACGTTGTTTGAATTAACTTATATCAGATGGGAAAATGATCTGGGTTTTTAATTTATTTTTCTTCTCTTCTGACGGTGAAACATCAGTGTTTTGAAATATTTGATTCTGGAGTTTGCTGTCTAGGTGACCTGGGAGCTGCGTATGTAATGTGCTGCACATATAATATGCTACACGTGGCAGTGTCTGAACATATATAATGTGCTACACGTGGCAGTGTCTGAATGCTGGCAGTTTCTGGAGACCGTTTAGACACAGCTGGAATCTCAGTTCTTGAATTTTTTATGATTGCATTATTTTCAAAATATCATCACTACATTTGTCACAGAGAACAACTTTGGCACTAAAAAATACATGAGGTTCTGGAGTATATTGTTTTCCTGAGATTCTGTGATGAGCAGAGTGCAGTTCTTGGAAATGTCTTGTTCCTGTTTTGTTTAGGAGACAAGGAAGCCATGAGGAATTTGGCCAAGCATCCATTTGTTCATTCAAGTAAAAGGTATTGAGTACATTGTGCTGAGGGCGCTAAGGGAGGCAGAGGTGTTAGGAGTGGTGATTGGACGAGTTCACATCTGTCCTCTGTTCATCTGGAAGATGCTGGGACTGTGTGGGATATTTCGACTGTTAGAAACCATAGTGTGTGAGATTAGAAGGACCTGTTTTGCCTGCCTCATAGCCGTGACTGGATCCCATGATGAGAGACTGAAGAGCTGTATTCTATAAGCCAGTCCAGCAGCAGTTCAGCTTGACCTTCTCTGAGAGGGGCAGATAGCCAAGGTGGACACCAGCTGCCTCCCCATACCCTCATCCTTCCGGCTCAGCTGCTTCCTTTTCTACTCCTCAGCTCAGCAGGATAAGGGCCGTGTCGCTGAACTGGCTGACGTGAGGGAAAAGTGACATGGGCGTCTTTGTATTGTCAGGGCTTGCTCTTTCTGTGGTGGCAATAGGGTCCTCCCTCCTTCCGTGGTGCAAGCATGGCTCCCTCCTGTGGGCATACCCATCTGTATCCTCAGCACGTGGTGTGCCTAGTGAGTTTGCCAGGTTCTCAGGACCAGTTCTGCATCCTGGCAGAGCAGCTGTGAGCAGACATTGGTTGCCTGAACCACTCCATGGAGGAGTCTTGGCCAGAGGTGGTTGGCTTAGCTGAGAGACGTCACTGACTGTGCGGGTAGTGTTTTACTCAGGCCAGTGAGCAGTTTGCTGGGGGTGGGGTACACACCTGATTCTGCCTCCTTGGGTGGGAAACTTACTAGGTGCTGTAGGCCTAAACAGTTTGTATTTTGGTGTCTCAATGAGTACAAGAAGAATCAGTTTTATGTCTATTTGAATTTTATCTGTAAGGTCCACCTTGCATACAAGGTTTTTTAAAAAGCACACTTGCATGTTTTCTATAATCTTGTATCTGGAATCTGTGGAAGGTTTCTGTCAGTAAAGCTGAGGCAGGGTCTCCACAGAGAGAGAGTAGTAATATCTCTCATTTGGTTGGTTTGCAGGAGCACCTAGGCCATGGGGCCTGGGTGCCTTTGCTTCCCCTCTTAAGAGCTCTTTGGTGACTGACGACTTAATGATCAGCACCATGCTAAGATTTGGAAACGAATGAATGACTCATGGTCCTTACACTAAAGGAGTGTTCATATCGCTCTCTAGCCGAGACAAGCCACGCAGCTCTAAGAGATCTGAGTAACCCAAGTCCTCCCTCACACTTGGTTTCTCCCACAAATATGCTATAATTGGTTTTTCCTTGCCTGAGGAAAAATTACTCAGAATGTGAGGGAAGGACTTCAAAAATCCTGGTACCCAGGAGGCACTGCAGACATTATGGCGGCCATCCTTGATGATGAACTGTGCCCCTTCAATGCCAGCGTCCAGGCCATGTACATCCCAAAGAGCACAAGCCTGCGCCTCACCACCTCCAGATGTGCAGGCAACAGTTCCTGTCTACAGTCTTTTTGAAAACACAACATAAAAAAAATACTTCAAATAATGTATCACTATGATTCTACTTGCTTTTTAAAAAAAGATGAAAATTATTTTCACGTTATGATGGCAAATTTCAAAAGGGGGAAGCTGTTTTCTATCTCAGAGGAAGGCAGTTCGGTTTCAGAATGGTATTCGGTGGAGACTTGCTCAGTGGTCCTAAGGAAGCTTGGCACGGCCACCTCCTCCCTCACCTCCCAGCTGAACACACTGGACTCCCTGCTTCCACCCCTGGCGCCATCACTGCCTTCTGGTTGTGACTGTTGGATTTCACTGTGGGACGAGGAGATAATCTACAGTGTTTTGTTTTGTTTTGTAAACTTTATTTTGAAAATACTTTTAAGAAGAAATCTACTGGTTAGATTTATTGTTTCACAACAATATTTTTAGAGATTATTTTGTTCATAAATGTTTTCTTTTTCATGAGATGACTGACTTTTGCCTACAAGTGTTCACTTCTCACAATATTTTTTCAATATAGATTCTATTTACCAATTTACTTAGTGTTTTTAAAAGGTACTGAGGATTGAGGTATGTAAATCAGGAGACATAAACATGAAAAACTTATGTCCCCAAATATTTTTCTAATGATGTCAAATAAATACTTTTTCTTGAAAATGTGTTAGATTCCTTCCTACCATATATACAGCAATCAAGAGCCAGGGGTCTGCTCATAGTTAAGAGGTACTTGATTGACATCCAAATGTGGGGAATACTATTATGTGCAAAGCTTTGCAGAAATAGTACATGTGACTACATAGCCTGTGTCTTTGACAAGGAGACAAATGCTAACCCTTCTATTTCACTGGCATGATCAGCTTTGAGTTGCTTTCCTAGGTAATAATCTCAAAACACACTCGTGCTGGAGAGCTACTTCAGTGCAGTAGCACATCAGAGGCAGAGGTACACTGAGGCATTTTTTAAGAAGTGGTAACATACACAATTTAAAATATTGAATTTTATTTTATGGGTATGAGTGTATTGCCTTCATGTATGTAAATGTGCCTGTGTCGTGCAGTGCCCCTCCAGGTCAAAAGAAGGCATTGGATCCCCTGGAACTGAAGTTAGGGATGGCTGTTAGCCAACATGTTGGTGCTGGGAACCAAACCTGAGTTCTCTGTAAGAGCAGACAGTGCTCTTAACTGCTGAGCCATGTCTCCAGCCCCTCATCATAACCATTTTAAAGTTTGGTATTGAGTATGCCCACCTTGTTGTGCAATAGAGCTCCAGATTTTTTTTCCTTGTATTAAACTCAAACTAGACTAACTGAACACAAGCTTCTATTTTCCCCTTCCTGTAGACCTGGGTGACCTGTTCCTTATGTTTCTCTGGATTTGACTACTCCTGGTGTTGTGACAACCCCCCCCCTCCCCATTCAGACCCACGAATGCTCTCTGGGATCCTAAGGCCACAAAATCGACAGGACACATTCTATTTGGGTTTCTGTCTAGTTTATGACGTCTGGGAAAGGGTTACTAACAAAGGCATGGTCACCTGCGGACCCTGCTTTTCCATCTTGGCTAAGCTTTGAGATCTGCGCTGCGCTGCCGGTGCTCCACCTTTCCCACGCTTCCTGGCTTTTTCAGTGCTTCAGCTTCTGTCCTTAGACCCCCACCTCATGCAGTTGAGAGGAGTGACTGTCTCGGAGGACATGCCTACCCAACACCCAGCAACTATATGCCAGTGCAGTTCTATGGTATTTGTCTCTGTGACTGGCTTATTTCATATAATGTCCTCAAGGTTCATCTACACAGTATCTCAGGATTTCCTTTAAGACTGTTAATATTGGGTGATGTGTGTGTAGCACATTTATTATGGATACTTGGAGTGCTTTTACCATTGACTCTTGTGAATAATGC